AAAAATATGAATGACTGCATCCTCATTCTGCAGTATTTTCTTGTGACGCTAACTTATGATACTCTCATAAGAAAATACTGTAAAAAGGGAATACAATCACACCTTCTATCTTATGATTCTTATGATACTTTCTTGTGATACTGTCATAATACTCCTACGATACTTTCATAAGAAAATACTGCAAAATGGCAATCCGAGGTACATGAAAGGTACGGCAGTATCGCCAGAACTAAAGGATCGACTAACCGCGGTATCACGAAAGAGCCCCCCTCTTGTTCGTCAGGGATTCGAACTCCTCATCTCCAAACCTCTAAACTCTTTGGGTCCCGCTATATAAACAGCCACCCTATCGACACTTATGCGAAGCAGCTGGAGCTCTTGAATTTGTACAATAAAGTAGTATTCTGATACCGCGTATGAAACGTGTCGATGGATCGAAGGAACCAATGTGAGTGATAGGCTAAGCCAGAGATGTATGTGATAATGACGATGAACAGGATGGGTAATGGACGAATCACCAGAACTGGTATAATTAGATCGGTTGATGAAAGGCACTCAGACGGTAGACGTAGACGAATGAGAAACGCGAAACTAATCAACAACATCTCTCAAAACGACTAAACCCTGCCAAATGTTTCTGTCGAGAGAATCGCTAAATTGATAATTCCATTCAGGAGCTAAACGAAAATCAGGAACGCCAGCAGGCTGATGAACATCAGTGTAGCTAGCACTGGTTAAAGCAAGTGCAAAAGTTGCCAGTTGAACAGGTGGAAGAAGAAAAATCGTCGTCAGTGGTGGGAATTACCCGTTTATGAAGCTGATGCTTAAGTAAAGCTGAGAGTAATGGTGTACTCTGCGGATCGGCACATTCTAATTGTTGCCCGCTTTTCACGGATTAACGGGCTCTTCTGGACCACTGTGTCTACGGTATAGAGAAACTGTACGGAAGACCAGAAGCCCGACTAACACAGGGTGCCATAACAGCACCACAAGCATATCAACGTAACGGTGTCCCAACGCTTTCCTGTTGTAATCGGAAATCTGGGAGTCTTATCAGACAGCTAACACAAGACACCGCCGCTCACAGCCCTGCCAGATTTGCCAAAATTCGCAAAAACTAACGCCCACGATACCTGACTCCTTAAATAATAACATGCAATTACTAAAACTCGGCTCGGCTCGGCCAGCGCCATATACGACTTGCAAAAACTTTTTTCTTGGCCATAGCGGGTAGCGTTGCCGGACGGGTATTCTAGTAATTGCCTGATTTTGGTGCATTTGTAAACTGTGTTGGTCAAGTGATTGGTTTTTCCAGGATTATGGTTTGGTATTTTTGAGAACTAGCAGGCATGTTCAGTGGTCGAAAATCACCTCGACTTGTGGAGGAGCGGCTCGACGGCAAAGAGACACGTAATGCTGGGCCGAAGTTACTGCTCAATGGTGACGTGAAAGGTGTCGGCATACTTAAGGTTAGTGCTGTTTTTCGGAAAACATTCAGAAGACTGAATACTCAGCTGGATCTGAACTCATCAAGTCCTACATAGACCGGGGACATTCTCTTCAAATTCCTGCCTTCTAGCTTTTCTGGTTCCCGAGTTAGCAACTTGTCCGCAAAAAATTTTCACTAATTGTGATATTTAATACTTTTTGCTTTGCCACCGTTTGTAACTCTTCGACTGAATTTGACATCCCATCCCTTGTTTTATCTCT